CCCCAGTAAGGGAGCATGCAATACCCTTTTTTTTTTTGAAAGCAAAACTTCTTCCACTAGAATTCCAATATTATAAAAAAATTGCTAATCTAATGTACGACATCAATACTACTTCAGTCTGCACCAAGTAATTATATTTCGAATTTGTTTTCTAAAATTTCCAGTGTTCACTCTTACGGCACAAGTTCATCAATGTCTGAGCATTTTTATACTAAGAAATCTGTGCAATCTGAATCTGTTTCATTTGCTAAACGTTCATGCATTGTCTGCAACCAGATTAAAGCGATGGTGTGGTGAAATTCTTGGGGAAACTTTCAAGTTTATTCAGTCAACATTTGCGGACACTTTGCTCTTTAAAGAAAACTTTAAATTACTGCGGAATATATTTACCCAAGGGGAAGAAGGCGTCACAAATGGAAAAGTTGCCATTGAATGCAAAACAAAGTATTTATGTATTTTGTTTTGGATCTGAGTAGCCAGTGCACCCAAGATGACTAGTCGGCGATTTTCGCTGGTCGCTGGGGCTTCTGGAGATCCCTGTTTATTACTTTTCTTTATTAAGGTCAAGGGTCTAACAAGTGGTTTTTGTTAAAGTGAGAGGGATGGAAAAAGCATTGACTCATGCATGCAAAAGATTATTGCAAGTCAAGGGAAGGTTGCAAGGTTAAGGAGCAGAATGCTACGCTGTCTTACTCGGGTAAGTACATGTAATATTTAATATAATAATTTGGATATATCAACAAAGTTGAAATGGTAAATTGGCCACCGTAACAATTACAAAAGCTGATGTTTCGAGCATTAGCCCTTCGTCAGAGCGAATAGAGGAATTGTGGGTTGTGTGTGCATGCTTTTAAAGGCAGAAAATGGATTTAAAAAATGCCTTCGTCGTTAGCCCATCGTCAGAGCGAATAGAGGAATTGTGGGTTGTGTGTGCTTTTAAAGGCAGAAAATGGATTTAGAAAATGCCTTTAAAAGCACACACAACCCACAATTCCTCTACTCGCTGCGACAAAAGGCTAACGCCCGAAACGTCAGCTTTTGTAATCGTTACAGTGGCCATTATTTACCAATTCAACTTTGTTGATATATTCAAATTATTTCATTTAACTCCCACCAACGCAGCCCCAAACAGTTTCTTTCGAAACTACTAGCTTTTATTCTTTAATATTTAATATACATTCTCTTTCAGTGGGAAATCATTTGCCCTTATTTTCCCATAATGTGATTAACATCCTTCTCTTATGCTTCTCTATATTTTCTTGTAATTTAGTAAAGAGACTGCATGTAATGTGATGCTTAAGCTAAAAATTCTGTTGCCTACTCTCAGGGTAATGTCTTGATCAACAAGGATTGCCAAAAATCACTTTGGCCTCATGCATAAATAGCCAACCACTGTCAGGCTGTGAGAGTCATTTTGTTGTTTCTCTATAATAATCCTTTCCATCCCAACATCAGTATGCATATTCTTCATACTGTTCTCTATACATCAGTATGCATTTTCTCCATACTGATCTCCATACATTTCTTATGGTGTTGATAGGGAGAATTTATTTACAAGTAGCAAAAAGGAGCTGCTAAGGTCAGGGCCATTGTCTAGCAGCACCTGGTGGCCCTTGGTGCCTTACTTTTGCTCTTGGGTGACTCAGGAACCTTAGTTTTTTCATAAAAAGTATATGTTGTGCACCCTGGATTTCACAGTTTCAGAGCATGCACTGAGCTCCCTTCAATTTTTCTTAGAGCACAGCCTTGTAGGTAGTTGGTGATAGTTTTCTTTATTCTCATGACCTCAATGTATGATTCAGGGGCAATCGCGTGAGGAGAAATAGGATGCTAAGGACTCTGAGGGGTCAAAATTTGAACAGTGTTTCAGACTTCAGTGAAGAAGTCTGTGTCAGTTGTACAATATGAAAGTATCTTTGTGGGGTTTTTGGGACATGAAGAAGTGTTTGTAGGGCATCTGGTGAGACGTCAGTGTCACTATCCATTCATTTGATATTGTGGTCATAATAATGCAACCAAAATTATAAATTAAGTAGCTGGAAACTAATAATAATAAATGCTTAATTAGCTACATGTACACTTGCTTTAGTTGTGGATAACTTAAAACCTAATTTGCAAACAATACTTGTAATCTCAGCAACTTCACAAGAATGGTTCCATATCTTGTGAGCTTCCTCCTAATGGTCTGGAGATGTGTTACATGCATCAGGCAGAGGTGATGATGATGATGATGATGAAGTGAGACAGATGGAAGGCTCACATGAAAATGACTCGTGTATTCAAATGTGGAAAATAAGCAGAATATAGCTTCTGATTCTGCTTATGAAAATCTTGAAATACAATCAGAACTTACAGAGCACTCAACCTGAACATACTGGCAAAAATCCACCTGCCGAAAAGAGTGATGAAAAGGATAATTACCATGAAGCTATTGTTTTAAAGCTACAGCCTTCAAGACCAGCTCCCACAAGGCCGCCACCATATGCTGTGTCAAGGAAATTGAGCAATAAATCTGGGAGCGAAGTGGACCATAAATTGACAGAAAAGGTACAGTGCTGGCATGTTTAACTCGTCAG